TATATATATCATATATGCAGCAGATTGAAACGCACGTGATTTTCTCCAGTTAGGCATAATGTCACTTGCTTGATTTGTTTCATTTCCAGAAGAAGATGATTAAAGTATGTTTTATAAATTTCACTCTACGAGATATCCAACATATCGGTTTTATAATAAATCGTTAATAAGGGCATTTGCGTGTACGGTCGCGCAATATATGAGATCAATAGCGGTGTTACTGTTACTGCATTTAATATGCTATACTCGTCGCTTGCGACAATATAAACTTAATTGCTACGCAATGACAATAAGTATAAGTACGCATGTGTTTATGGAAGCGCATAAGACGTTAATAACTAATATGTAAAAAAAAAGAAAGAAAAAAAAGGCGTCCGCGAGATACTTTTCCCATTATAATTGAGGTCAGATTCGAGACGCCGAAAACGTTATAAAACGAAAAAGCTTTTTATTGTCAATTCGCCAACTTAATAAATTAGTTATGTAATATCAGAAAACTTACAAATTATTCAGGAAGCAGGTATTACAAAAAGTACCTGAATCTTCTTTTGTGCATGTCTCTAATCTTTCTCTCTTTCGCTCTCGCTCTCACACACACGTCCAAGAAGAATGCCGAACAAAATCAAACATAAAAATTAAGTACTTTGTTACACACGTCTTCCTCTTGTCGCGCGAAGTGAAACAATGCATTTGGAAATAGGAAACTTACCTATTAGCGATCGATTAATTATCTCATTATTAATTTATTATAAGAGAACGTTATGTAGTAACTAAAATAGTTATACACATATATGTATGTGTATACGCGTAGGCAACCGCATGTCTTCCGATGTGCGCACGCGATGTACGAGTATACACAAATAAATATGTAAAGCGAATGCATATTTACATATGATGATTATGTAAATGTGTATCAGTGTGAATGTGTATTGCGCGCGTCTGTTTTTCTTTGTGTGTGTGTATGTATATCACAATAACTCAATGTATACGATATTATCTCGTATAATTAATTGCTTATCAAGCCAGCCTTCTCTCTGGTGGAATTAAATCCAAGATAAGTAAATTAGCCAAAAAAAAAAAATGGAAAAAAAAGAAAAGGAAAAAGAACCACTACAACACACGTCCTGGGCTCATGTTTTTGAATCTATATCGCATACAAAAATCTATAACAGGTGTAATATGTACTTACTATAGTATTTTTGATTGCGATATTTTTCAAGAAAGCCCTTGGTCAGGTACACGTATTCACAAGACTAATCGATATTTCTTTTTACAAATCAATAGCCTTTTTAACTTTATTTTTCTTTTTTCCTTTGCTAACAAGCCTGTCAGTTAAATCTCGTTGTCCAAATTAAATCGGCAGATTTATCTTAATCACCGTAACGAAAATTGACTTTTTTTTTAATAGCAAAATAACTATGCCACGCAAGTGCCCCAACAATTACACCGATGCGTTTACGAAGGGGTATCAAAATTCCTTTCCGGTAAATATTTACATATCTCGTCTATATCGTCTTCGCTACGTTATTTATGTGCAAAGTGTAAGCAAACGCAAATATAAATCGAAACTTATCAACGATTTTATTCGCAAGATCAAAGTTAAGTATAATATAAGTAATATCTTCGACACTGGGACAACAATTCGGAAATAGAAATGCACATATTTTATCATTTCTTTCCCCAATAAACTAGCAACCATCCGAGTTATTTCATGCACTTAAAAGTACACGATATACACGTTACTAACATATGCAAATTAGAAAACTTCTACGTAACTTTCTTATAAGTAACAAACTCGCACTGCTCTTTTGAAGACAAATTCAAAATTTAATAATATACACATTGTGCAGGAAAGCCTTTACAACGTCGTCCTTTATGTGGATCATCCGGGAAATTGTGGACTCATCACAATTCACATTATACAATGAGTCCAAATGCTAAATCTTAGTAAAGTGAGAGGGTTCTGTATTCTTCTTTCCATAAAAGGCGAAAAATTTGAATGTTGGATACCTATTAAATATTCGTGCTTGTAGAACTTCCTCCTTCGCTTGACTAGTTGGTCACGATCCACTACTAGTGTCCATAAGTAAATTGTCATGACAGTGCTTTGTATGTACAATTATGGAAGAATGATCTCGTAATAGTTAACAAGTTTACACAATATTTGCAACGTAATGAAGCAAGTACTGGCTTTCTTGCGAATAAAATAAAAACGCCAACTTTATTAATGTCGATTAATTATTCAACCAATTTCACACACACACACGCACACACACACCGCATACGCTGCCGCGCACGCACACACACACACACACACACACACAATTTTTGATCATTATTGATTAATCATTCGTAATGCCATTGTATGCTCTTAAACAAGTCTTCCAAATACTCCACATGAGCCAATTAAAATTAAAAGTAACAATTTTTATCAATTTGATTCCAATCAAGGTAAAGGTACATAAACCTAAAGAAATCAGAATTATAACATATAGCACCCACTTAAATAGCGTTAGTTAATTTGTGAATCGATAGACTGATATGATCGCTTTATTTTCGCGAATATTTAAAATAATCGAGATATACGCCATATACAATTATTA